TTAAAACCTTCATGTTAGCCCTCGCCGGCCTTATAAAATATTAATCGCAGGGGATAGGAACCTTGGGGAAGATTCCCATATAAAAAGGGCGGGGGTGGTCGTCGTACCTTTCAGGGGTTAAAAAGCGGTTTTGCTATCTCTTAAGGGTGTTCAGCCTCAAAAGGTCCAAGGTGGGAGCTTTTGCGGTACCTTTTTAAGGGTGTTGAGCAAAAAACATATGACAGGAGATATAGAAGATATTACACGGTGGCGAGAAGATATAGAGGATATTACACGGTGGCGAGAAGATATAGAGGATATTACACGGTGGCGAGAAGATATGAATTTTATGTTCTCGTGAGATATTGTTCTTGCCACGAGAACATAAAATTCATATCTTCGAGCCAACGTGTAATGCTCTTTTTATTATATGGAGAAACCAATTCAACAAAAGCAAAAGGCGGGAATCGTGACGTCATTGAACGATACGACACTCACAAAGGTGACATACGGAAAATACGCCACTCGGGTCCCGGATGAAGTGGCGTATGGAATCTACGAGTGGTTTAATTCCCAGTAAAACACTCTTCTCCATATAATAAAACGTGTTATGTATGAATTGGTACCTCTTAGGGTGGGGGGAAATTTCAAGCCACGTGCACAAAACAGGGTCTTGGTTCCTCTTAGGGGTCCTTTTAAAAATTTCCGTCGAGCAAACTACGCCGGGATGGCTAGTGCCCAGTACTGCCCAGTCGAGCAATACATGTTGAAGCTTCTGCCGAGGCCATGTTTTTATAGTCCTGGGCCAGATTCGAAAGCTGGGTAGAACTAACCCAGGCTTACAAGCTAACCTAAGAATTATTTTTTCTTGTGTAAAAGTGTTTTTCACTTCTTATCTTTTGTCTAGTTTGAGATTACTCGATCTCGAAATTGAAGGACAAAAAATATCAACTAGAAAACCCTACCGAAAATTCAAAAATCTGAAATCAAATTTCTCGCTAATCCTGGGTTAGCTTAAGGGACCCTTGTCAGCCTCCGCCGTTTTTCGATGCCATCGAAATTATTGATATTGCGTGGTGAAGCGAAATCTTATTGCTTTACCGTAAGTTGTGTTCCTGAAAGTATGTTTAATTATCTTCAGTAATGTAATAGCTAATCCCTCACATGTAAACAAAAACAAAGGTGTGACTGACAAGGGCCCTTTAATCGGGCCTTGAACAACAAGGCCCTGATCAACACCTCTAACTTTTTTATTTTCTCGTTCCACCCAGGCCTATAAAGAATTAACTTGCTCCCACATTTAAGTATTTACCTCTCCAGGAATACATATTCTCTATTCGTTTTACTTTTTTATAGAGAAGGAAGTGTCATTTCTAGTTTCAACGTCACCTACTCGGCTGTAGATTCGTTACAAATTGTATCCCTGCAAGAAGAAATGGCTGGTGGAACGCTGGGTGAAACGCCAGTAGAATTACTCAACATCTCAACTAGTAACGGTATGTTAACTAATATATCAAACACAAAGTGAGTAAGTAAACTTTATTTAGACAGGGTACCCATTCAGCTCTAAGGCTGGTCTCCATAGGGGCCCTGTATCTAAAAGTTATAAGCCTAAAGTACAATAATAAAATTTAAGAACATTTACAACCAACTCACGAAAATATAAAAAACGTTTTTTTGCAAAATGTACTTTTGTTAATATGTACTATTGTATTATGTATAATTATAACCTATACTTTTGTTATAACAGTTTGACCACATTTCCAAACACTAAGAAGAGAGTGGAAAATACGACGCGCAGCGGAGTATTTTTGACTAACGTTGAGGTGTTTGGAAATGTGATTAAACATTGTCTTGAGTGTTTGATACATCTTCTCAATCAAAACTGAAACTGATTAAATAGAAAAAGAAGGAAAAAATCGTAACACCCTCTGCTTAGTAAGATCAGATACCCAAACACCGTCACGGTCGTGATTTCCTTTGTTTTAACTTGATGAATTATGAGTTTGAGAATGACGCTTCTATTAGAACGTTTAGAACCCTCAAAACGCCACATTTATTAAGGGTTACCTCTTGAATCGTCATTCATTGGCAAAACCTGCATTTGCAAAGAGACGGTTCTGTTGAATTTCATTTTGAAAACTGGGTAGGCCTAGCTGTCTTATTTGAATCCAAAATTGTGTAAATGTAAAGTTAATGTGGCTTTCATTGTTTTATTCTCAGTACCAAACGAAGCACCAGTTATTGTGGAAGCAGAGAGCACTACTGCCACGACTATTGCTCTGAAGTGGTCAGAAGTGACAGGACTCAATTCAGTTCCACTTCGCGGCTATACCATCATTTACAAGGAAATTGGCAAAAAATTCCAGGCAGATAACATGAAATCAGTGTCGCCAACACCTACTGAAGCGGTGCTAGAAGATCTGAAAATTTTCACAAATTACACCATACGTGTGTACGCTTTTACTAGGAGTGGAAACGGAGTGCCAAGTAAAGCAGTTTCTCGTAGGACTCAAGGAGACGGTAAATTTCTTGTCATTGTGGTATAGGTCGAATATGCAACTAAAACAACTGAGAAAGCCTCTAAATGATATAAGCCCAGACAGAAATGTTTTATTGCCTGTCTAATTATTTTGCATTCAGTTTGGAATAACAATACGGTACACTGCCGCTTATATAAACCCTCCTCCTTGTAAGCCGCCCCCCCCGGTTATAAGCCCATCTACTTGTAAACAAAACATTACTTTCATGATAAGGCCAGCCCCAGATTTAAGCCCCCCTCCCCCCTCTAGTTTAAAATGAAGTGAATTCGATTTATGATTATTTTTTGAAATTTAATTGAAAATCAGTATACGAGAAACTTATTCCGATCAACACTGCTGTAGTTCATTTTGAAACGGTTTTTTGTTCTTCTTGTAAGCTTCCTCGGATATAAGCCCCTCATTTTATAAGCCCGTTCAAACCCCCGTACGAAGTTGTATAAGCCCAGGGCTTATAAGAGGAACAATCCTGGCCAAAAGTTCTTGGGGCACTTAGCTTAAACTATGGGCCAAAACATAATTGTCTTTCTACTCTTGCTGGGAAAAGACTTTTAAGAGTTTTATTTAGTTATTACCACCTCCCACCTCCCACCCTCCCCCAAACGTTGTTGACTTGGGGACAGAATTCTTGCTATATGGACAACATTATCCGGGGGGGAAGGGGGTATATGCAATTCTTTCTTAGATGAGCTGTGCGACCATTAGAAAGTAAGTAGTGTCCCAAGACTTTTGGCTAGGATTGTAGTTCACTTTTCTATCACCATCAGTTCCCAGTCAGCCGCCACCAAACACTGTCGTTAAATCCACGAGTACGAGCACAATTGACGTCACGTGGGAGCCAATCAGCCAAGCTTATGTCCATGGAATCCTTGTGGGATACGAAGTTAGATACGCAAAGGATGACGGGTCATCGCCACCGACTTGGGAAACAGTGACACTTGATGTAGGCACACATAAAGTAGTTTTAGGTGATCTGGAATATTTTACGCGTTACACGGTGGTGGTGTGTGCCAGAACATCCAAGGGTTGTGGAAAGGAATATTCTGACATTGCTTACACGTTTGGCGATGGTGAGTACAATGTTAGGTAAAATAAAGTACAAAGTGCTACTTTCAAACTTGTGAGTTTCATGAAATGGTTTTATTTAGTAACAAGTATAACATCAAGTTATCTTAGCCTTGGCCTACCGTAGCGACAACCATAAGCAAATTTATGAAGCTATCCTTTCAAGATATTATTCCTCATCCCCCAGAAATGAACCCCGATAAAAAAAAGCCTACCAATCTGAGATGCAATTTCCATCCGTTAATAAACCCCTGTATACAGGCGCTCGGGCTTACAAATTGATTCCATAAACTCATAATAACTTCTTCAATTACAACCCCATTATAAAACGCCTTTCTAATAATAAGCCGATATTTCTGATATTTTTGTTTACCTTGATTCTGTTTTTTTCGTCTTAGAACCGAGTATGCCTCCTCAAAGTGTGACGGTCCATAATCTCACATCTGCAGTGGCTATAAACGTTACCTGGACTCCAGTCCCTGTCGGTCACGTCAACGGCCTTCTAATGGGTTATTCCATAAAATATCGAAAAATTCGAACAGCTGAGAGGGACGTGTTTGATACTGAGGAGTATACAGCCACTATAGGATCCAGCGAACTGTCGGTGGAACTTGAAGCTGACACATACTCGGTTTACGAGATTCGAATAGCGGCTTTTACCCAGAGGGGCATTGGACCTTACAGTGAGTTCGTCTATGGTGGTGAGTAAACAAAACTTGAACTGGTGTAAGCCTTGTTTGAACACTAATATGTATTACTAGTTTAGTTAGAGCAGTTTTCAATTGAGTGTTGAAAGTAATCAGGCAATTACTTTGGTTTTGGTTTTGGTTTTACTAAAGTTTGAGATTGGCTGAGCAATCTGCTTGGTAAGAAATTGGTTTGGTTTTGGTTCTACGAAACTCAAGTGAAAATGGCTGTTGCAATCGATTTATTAATGAATCACTGTAGGTTAATTTGAGACATCATGGTGTTTTAGTGTTCTGGGTATATTTGTCTAAGCTTTTCTTTTTTTTTTATCTCCTCTATAGAAACCTGCCGTTGCCCAGAAATCCTTTACACGAACTATTGGTCCAATTATCCATATCTCAGAATGAACGACAAGGACAAAAAGCTTGAGGGAGTTCTCAGCAGTATTGTCACAGACATGGTGCGTACAGCTTGTGGATACTGTCCCGCACACGGTGACACCTTCATCGACATGACTGCAAATGGCAAGGGAGAGTCTTCTGCCAAGAAAAGCGTCTTAGACGTGCTGAAAGATATTGATGACGTCCCACAGATTAGTTTTCCAATCTACGGCAACAAATTCATAGAACGATACATGGCAGAATATGCTTATATCAACCTTGTGGAGTCCCCTGGGGTGGCCTTCATTGCTGCTAAGAGGTTCCCTGGTAAAGCTGCTGACAACATGATTAGCGCGCTAACTGACTGTGTTCCAGTGTTAGTAATGTCAACGATCATGGCTTACATATCTGGGTTTATTATTTGGGTTTTGGTAAGTCTGTGCTGATGTTGATGTAATACTTTATCAAGCGCGAAAGACTGTGTTTGACCGTTCCAAACACCGATTTTGTCCATTGAACCAACTGTAAATTGCAAATTTTTCTTTCATCTCTCCTATTCTACAATTAGACATAACTAGCCTGTAGGTTAACTCGAAAACCTAACGGTTCATTTAGCCTCCACTTTTATTCAAACAAGCTTATGACAGTTACCTCATATAAAACACATCATCTATATTAAATAAACTAACAATGTTATAGTATTCATACTTATATTGAGAAAAATAAAGATATTGTTGTTATAAAATAGTTGATGGATAGTTGCGAGGCATACTAGAGAAATTTTGACGAGCTTCGAGGTGTTTGGAATCACGGTCTAGTTTTCGAAACTAAAACTTATTTCTAAGTTGATATAAATTTATGCATATTAAAATCAGATATCTGATATCTAATAAGTTTGAGATTTCTAAGTCTCATTGTGAACAAAAACTAGTAGAATATGGTCTGCACGTTTGATAATGTTCACGACTATGGGTTTAAGTATGGATGCACAGGAGAACGATTCTCAGTGTCCTTTGATAATTTTCTGTCATCATGCAATATATGTAATGTAGCATTTTGCCAAATCGCCACGATTGACCGATAGAGATTTTGTAATTAATGATCGTACAGTAGTTTTATTGCCTTTCGCTGCGATTTCTTTCAGGACATGAAGTGTAACCCTAATGAATTTCCAACCAGCTTTACGAAAGGTGCTGGTGAAGGATTCTGGTGGTCCTTCGTCTCCATGACAACTGTCGGGTAAGCGCATGGGAAAAATATGAAATTATTTCATGATCTGATGACAGCCTGGCGTACCGTTTCCTGGTTGAGTGCGCCGTCACCCTTCAAACCAACTACCATGTGCGTTTCACACCAGTTGTGCTGCAGTTCAGCAACAGGAAGGAGTAAGCTAGGGTTTTGAAAACGTTACTGGAATGAAATTCAAAATTACTTTTCGTATTCAATCTCGTACTGCCAATGCTATCTAAAAGTCCCTCATGAGCATGCAAGACTCCGGATTGAGCGGTAGAGGTTCAGGTACGAGCCCAATCCGAGGTCACGGCGTTGTGTTCTCGGGCAAGATACCAAAGTCTAGGTATGCCAATCTCTCCAACAAAGGGCACCCTTCAGTTTCACGCCAGGACTAGCCCTTCAATAGACTAGTGTAGCGCTTTATCTAGGAGGAAGTAAAAATGCTCCTAGTCGCTTAATATGCTAGGAAAACTGGGATAAGTTTCTGCGGTTTGGGACACTTTGGCGCGATGCACCTATCTTACGAACAACAAACTCACTCAAATGTGGCAATGGCAAGCTGCTTTATGACAACACGCAAACGTCATTTGTCCTGATACCTTAGTCTCCAGAATATGAATTCAAATGTGTAACATGGGCCCCCTTGAAAGATGATTTATTTTGACAGTTTGCTTTGTTTGTTGCTGCTGTTGTCGTTATTGATGGTGATAGTGCTTTTTTGTTTTCTGTTGACAGGTATGGAGACCGATCGCCCCGCTCTATTCCCGCCCGTATTTTTGCTATCATCTGGACACTTACTGGTCTTGTTATCATCGGTATTCTGGTTGGTGGAGTTGCCTCGTCTCTTACATCTGTAAATGTCGACCATTCCATAATTCTCTATGGTGCAAAGGTGTGTTTGAGATAATTATACCCATGCAAGTCCGCAACTCAGGCTAGCCTTAGAAGTGTCAGAAAAAATCATTATTATACTTTCAATCTTGCTGAAGGCCTCAAAACAAATTCCTGGGAGATATTCTATACTTGTAGCTGGAAGAAATGTTTTCGAATATTAAAGTAGAAATGTACCAATGTACCAATACCGTGACAACAATTGATGTGCAATCGGCCATTACTTAACTGTAAAGAATCAAGTCTTTGCTTACACGGCGTAAAGTGAATTAATATATTTGAAGCATCTGATTGAGAAAATCGTCTGAGTATAGTAGTATTCAGCCCTAAGACGAATATATTTGTAACAATCTTGTGCTCGGAAAGATAACTATCCGACGGCTTTTGAAGGAAGGATAACAGTATGTGACTGACTCTTCACTATCAAATTTAGGTAGGCACCATCCAGAACTCCACTGAACATCAAATAGCCATTCTTAAGAACGCAAGAGTGAACGAAGGTACGAAGTATATCCTATAGTAGAAAGAATTTGTATTACTACATTAACTTTTAATTCTTCTTGAAGTTCATGTACATGTTACATATCAAATACGAAATACCATGTTTTACCACAACTGCAAACACAGAAACGAGATCCAGCTAAAAATAACAACAGTGGCCAAGTATTTCTATCGAACTTGGAGGTTTTTTGGAAATTTGGTCAAATTCGATTCTAAGTGTTTGGTATATCTTCTCAATCGAAACTAAAACGTACGAGAAAATAGAGAAATAAAATCGTAATAATCTGTGCTGATTAAGATAAATAACATCAGATATTCAAACACCGTCACAGTCATGATTTCCTTTCCATAAAATTGATGAATTATTAGACTTTATTACTGACTTTGAGCAGAGCTATTTCAAAACAACATTTTACGTACCTTCACGTTTTTTTTTTCTTTGATGCTTGCACCTGAGGATCGTTAGGCTGTCGATGAGTTTACCTTCATAATTATTTTGTGAAGACATCAATGTTAAGCGCAATTCTATACACAACTTAGCCAGTTAATTTCACAGCTGCTTAAGTTTTGTATATAACTGTGATGATCATTGATGTCTTCAAATCTTTCTCCGCAGTTTAAGGATATGACCCTTCATATATTCACTTGCATAATTATTTTGTTTTCAGAGCGGAATTACAAAGACTTTGTGGAAATCAGAACAGCATTAGAGAACGGGGAAATCGATGGCGCACTGCTAGACACTTATGTCGCCGCAGAACATAAAGATGAAATTTTCAATGAGAAAATATATGTAAAGGAGATTCTGGACCGTCCATTTGGATACGGGGTGGTGTTGTCAGGGGCGGCCAGGAACGTGGAACAAAGATGTCGGGATTATATCGACATGCAAATAAGTGAAATATTCCACATCATCCAGAATTCCACAAAGACACTAGACGTAAGTTCCTTCATAAAATTCTGTGCGACTCGTGCGAGTAAAACGTTACTCTCAAGTTCAATCCTCTTCGCTCCTGATGGAACATAGGTCGTTCATTAGTGTCCACGACACGTGAGCTGTCTCTCCTCCAACTCTGCCATTCTTGCCTCCAGGTGTGCTG